TAATATTTTCATTTATATAAATTGGAATGATTTAACTTTTCATCTTTTTAAATTTTTTCTGATTTTATGCTATTACCCTTTTACAAATATCACAATCAGAAGGAAGATTTTTTATCTATTAATAAAATCCTCTTTCACATACAATAAAGAAATGCATACTATAAGAGATTTATTAAATAGTTTAAAAATAAAGAATGAAAACAAAATACAAATGAATAATAAAAATCAAAGACTTACATTTGTTTAATGTAGATGTACAGAAAAAATATGTAGAAAATATTTTGTACTGAAAAAAGTATTGATGTGCTTTGGTTTTTATATTATTTTGTGAATGGTGTTTTCTCAGAAGTAGTGGTTAATTCATTCATTAAATCAAAATTCTTAACTCTTGAAAGGTATATTTCATATGTTAAACTTGATATATAATAGCATTACATACTTTTTCTAAAGATTTACATTGCTTCTGAATGTACGTGTAAAGCAAGAATTAAATTTTTGTTTCCTTTTGAAGGAATAAATAAATATGTGTTCAAATACTGATCCATGTCTGCTCTGTTATATGTCACGATCCATATAATTGTAAAATTTTTTGGTACAAATGAGTATTGTTGTGAAATTCATTCCGGAATGATTATAAAAACTGCACAATAAAAACGATGTATGTTACTTTTATAATGTTTCGACGTCATTAAACTTTAAATTACTGGTATAAAATATTTTTAGTGTAATATTTTGATTGCGCATTTTTTTCCATAATTTGCTACAATACTTACAGCTTTGTATACGTGTTTATATTTAAAAAAAAGAAAAAAAAAAGAAGAAAAATTAATTAACTTTATACGATTACAGATCGTTTAAAAGAGCACCATGGCTTCAGTCTACACAGACAGTCCTTGGAAATTTCAACACACCCCATCTTATACACCGTTACAACGGGAATGTTGCTGAACAACGATACCTATAATTTTATCATGTAAAAGTAATTTGAAATGAAACAATTACTATATAATACATTTATAATTACGCTACTAGTGCTAATTATATTATTGTATACATTTAATAAAATAGGAGACCAGTTAGTAAATAGTTTATCTCGAGCCCATTGTCATCTGGGAGTAGATTCCGTCTGCCTAACTTTGTCAAACTGACGACGATAATGAGCGCGCCCACGACCTCTATTTCGATGTCCATGGTTATTATGTCCATGATAATTATGATGCAGTTGTCTTGATTGATAGTGAGCATGATTTTGTGTTTGATGTGAAGATTGTTTTGACTGCGACATTTGCTAAAGAAAGCAATTTATCATTTAAGCACTCGGTAAATTTATTTTTCAATAAAATAACTTTCGTATTAATAAAACAAAAAATTCAAGTAATTTAAAATTATAAAT